CATATCGACCGCAGCATCTTCTCTTATCTTCGGATGAAGAATGCTCGGTCGTCGGCATCCAAGGGGAAAAAGAGCATCCAACTGACTGGGGAGGCAGATGAGACATCGGCTCAGATAACCCTATCTCTCCGACGGAAGCCCAGCGAGACGTTCGCTCGCTCTGAACCTTCCGATGCGTTCTGACGCCTCGAACCCGCGGTCGCTGCCGGAGATGCGCTCGGGGATTCTCTGGTATTTCCCTCGAAAGTCCGGAATGTTCTCCGAGAAGGTTCTCGATCGGAAGCGTGAGCCTGTACGGTCAACACGTTCACAAAAAATAATTCCTCTCGCGGCCGACCTGAATCCGGGCAAAGATCGGGAACATCTTATTCAAGATAGTCCACACTCGAACTCCGGAGTGAATCGATTGGCGCGATCCGGAGACTTCTGAGAACGATTGATCACAGACCATATCCATGCGCCGTATTACACTTAAGTAGCTCGAGCCTTCTTCAAAAACTCGGAGAACTCTACGAGAACGTTATTAATCTCGACTGCGCGCATGAATACACGTGGAAGTCAGCCTCGCTGAATGGGGGAAGGGAGAAACGGGCTTCCGAGACGGAGTGTGTACGTGACCTCTCGTAGAGAACGGAGCAACATCGCCTACGTACGTACTTGCTCCGCTTCGCTGGAGCCGGCTAATGAACGTCAATTCAGCATTTTCGGCGGAACTTGCCTAATAATTACTACTTCTCAAGGAGTTGACATTTTCCCTGACTGTCGCGACCGCTTGAAATTCAAGGGGTAAGCTTGTTTCGAAGGACCGGAACATCCTGTACTCAAAAACGAATCACGTCCAGGCTCCCAGAATCGAATCGAAGCGGAAGTTCCGGAGAAATCCGGCCAGAGATCCCCGGTCCGCACCAATATGCTGCAGTTTTCCCGGGAGTTTCCATGGGAACTCTGCTCATTGGACACCTATATTAAGAGAAGGCATGCATAATATGTGGGGTCGCAAGATTCGGTTCCAGTTCGCGAGAACGTTTCGCTCGACATGCCAAGCGATGAAGATGAGTCGAATCAGCCGAATAATTCCAGATGGCATTCGGCCATCTGAAGCTTTGTTCGGTCCTATTTCGTATGTATGTATTGCCGAACGGCTATTAGTGGGCCTTGCAGCCACCCCCGGGCAGAGAACGACTCTTGGCCCGGCCGGCCTTTTGCTATAGCGGCACGTGTCACTCCCGCGAAGGAGGAATGCATGAGCTTCCCCTCGAGTTCGATGGAGAAGTCAAGAAGCGAGCGATGGACAGTTTAGCCCGGCGGGCAATCGTTGTTACCATAGACCCCTCGGAGAATTCCTTTCCTTCGGCGATCCGCAGAAATGAGACAGTCTCGGAGTTATCTCTGGAAACTCAACCGCCAGCCCCTCTTCGTCTGGAGTATTACGTGGCTCGTGCCTCCAAGATTTCTTGTTTTCACCCGCGTGTCGATCGGGGGTGAAAGGACAGGGTCCTTCCTTAGTCAGATGCGGCTCTGGGGATACTCCGACTTACGTTGTGTTGTCAGTCCTGCCAGTCTTTTAATGGGCGGTGGGCACGCCACAGGAAGACTGTTTCCGCGGGCGTGGTGTCGCCTTGCACCTCGCACCACGAAAATGTACGTCAGGGGGTCTGACAGTCAGTCTAGCGGGAGGAAGCGAGCTTGCGACCATTAGCTCCGAGCGAGTTTGTGGATAATTATGGCGCAACTGAGGTTCTCTCGTCCGCGAACAACGCAAACCCCGACATGATTTCGTCTCATTGCGACATACATAATACCGCCGAGATACGTAACGCGCGAGAGCTCGACCGGATGATCACTAAACATACCTCTTCGGCGTGATGATCGTCCCTCCCTTCATTTTCTCCGTCTGAGCTTGCGATAGAATATCAGTCGGTTTTGGTTATTGGAGCGAGCGTCGAACCGGGGGAACGAGACTCCGCTGCGAGTTTGCGAAACATTTACGGACAAGTGCTCACTGCAGCTATTTCATCGAGTTCACCGTTCCCGTCCGCTGTGACTTGACGTGACTCACATGCGCATCGCTCTCCAAACGAAGCCAGCAGGCAGGTCTCTTACTTTCGGACCGCGACCAACGTTCGCTCGGCCGGTTTCCGCCCGTCCATCTGCCTGCCTGCCCGCCCGGGGGCGTTCAATTCTTCATCGAATCCGAAAGGAAACCTGAACACGACGATGGAGAAACGAGAGAAAGTCGACCGAGGGGTCGTTGGCACTGCAGTGGCTGTTGATGAGGAAGAGGAGGAACGAACGGAATCAGAAAGAAAGGAAAATCGACATCAATGGGAAATCAATGATGATGATGATGCGACGCGGGTTGAAGGTCCCGGAGCGACTCAAACTTTGGAATTGTTCGATGGAAACGCTGCTGTTGTGAGCCTCGACTTTCGAGGTGATAAGACAACGGGCTCTCGCTCGAGCCGAGCCCCAGAGGTTTCGCGTTCGTCGGAGATAGAAAGCGGGCGGGCTGTGGCGAGGAAAATTCTGGAACCCAAATAAATCGAATGGGAATCCGGGGCAGGACGTATTCACCGGGATGCCGAGGAAGGATTTGCGAGGGGCAGGGATTGTGAAACGGATAGATAGACGTGTGGAAGCGAGACGGAATCTTATGAGGTGACCCTCCGTCAAGCCGTCACGCTCCGATCCCTTCTCGAAGCCTGTTCGCAGATCTCCGACTGTGGATCAGACACTCCGCATGGGGCATTAGACTGGCTCAGGAGATTTCTCTCCCGTGCGGGTAAGGAGAGCCTCATATGGTGACGGAAAAGCGTATTTCGGATCACAACCTACACCAACTCCATATCGGCATATTACGCCGCGTCGGCTCCCGGAATGCAATTCGCATTTCGTTGCAGCAGTAGGATTCTCCGGAGCCCTGTCGGCATGGCTTTATCTGATTTCGACTGACTCGGAATCATTGAGAGTCCCTCAAGGTCTCTGAAGGACGTGGCCACGTTGACGTCAATTCACAATTGATCGTAACATTTGAGGGTAGAGAGGCTATTTTCGGGTAAATCGTTCATACGCGGAGCGAGACACAGGTCTGCATCAACTGCTAGCGCGAGAATCTGAATCGATCCCATGGAAACGTTCCTGTGCGATCCAAAATGACCCCGGTGCATCACTTACAATCAGACTAATGATACGATGTATCTTCCGGCGACCTTCCAGCTTGAGACGATTCGAGACCCGACTTCTTGAGCCTTCTCGAAGTTCCCGAGGATTCTCGAACAGCAATTATTGAAACAAAGGAGCATTTTTCGGTCTCGCGAGCAACAACCATGGCGGAAAGACGATATAATAATAGGCGTGAGCTCATTCGTGTGACTGCCCAGCTCACTGAATGAATGAATGAATGAATGAGTGGGGTCGAAAGTCTGCAAGGTGAAAGGAGGCTATGAACTGAAGATATGCCGCGAGGAGAAGGAGGTGAAAAGCTCTCTGGGGAGTCTTTTGTCATTCGAGAAAAATACCAACCGTACGAGCTTTCACCTAAAGAGCGAATGAGCGGAGCAAGGGGAGGGTCGGGGACCGAGCTAGGGCTGCGAGGGTGGGAGTGTGACTTTGAAAAGGGGTAGAAGTTATGAAACTGAACTTCGGATGGAGGATGTTCAACCTAATGGGCTAAACGATCTCTGCTGTGCACCCCAGCGAATCCCGACGCCGAGTGGTAAGAGGGGTATCGCTGCTGTGCAGCCGTCTGATGATGATGACGATGATGATATTCTGATGGACTTTACAGTAGTAGTCCTGAATGCTGTCGGTGGCTTCTGCGTTTCATGGCGAGGAAAAGTGAACCGAAAAGAAACGCGTTCCCGACTGGAGCCGAGCCACTCAACTCTGCGGGACACTGGGGAGAAATTCCCTCCGCGGACACCTCCTGATATATACAGAACTCCCGACAGGCGTTTCACGTCACTAGAGCATTACATTCCGTAGCTCCGCGGTCGCCGAGCAACTCGAGCGAGAGGAACGAATGCGGACTCCGTGTTCGATAGGAGGAACGAGAGGAACTGATTCGAGTTTTTCTTCTCCAGGCGCCCGCCGTGAACTCAGGATGAGCTCCACCAGCCCAGTCTAGGATCATCCCAGGTAGGCAAAAATTAGAAGATTTTCTGGCTTTCCGCTTTTCTTTGCTGAGCTCGCCCTCACGGTTTCGAGCTTCGTTTCGGCGTTCCCCGTTCTCGTATTTCTTCCGGCTGCTATTGGCTCGACGAGCAGTTTCTATTCGCGACCGTCATGGCTGCTCCCGCTGCCACCGCCGCGCCGTCGACATTGTTGTATGCTCCCGCTATCAGGAGCGGGGATTCGACGGGAAAATCGCGAGAGATATGAAGGACACGGAAACGCGGACCGCGTCGGCAACAATGGGGGAAACGGAATCAAATGTTGTCTTTTCCGGTGGAGATGAAAATGACGACCCAAATGGTGACATCTGTTTTTCTCAGAATAGCGCACTCTTTCCGACAACGCCGTCGTTGCGCAAAAGCGAGGAGTGGTGTATATTTTTCAAAAATGTCGGCTTTTCGGAGCATTCCTCCTCTCCGAGTCGGCAAAACATAGGGAGTTCCCGTACTCAGCTACAAGAATAGTATGGGACGTTCGGGACGTCCTTTAGGTCTCTTGGATCACGGCTCAGTCGTAATACATATCCCACATCGGGGACGCGCTTTTCCTGTGCACGGTGACCAAGCGTGGGAAGACTTCGAGACGACTGACTGAGTCCCGAGATGACTCCTACAGTAGTGCGATGTTTATAGGCGAGGCTCTGCCTGAATCTGACGCGCAAAATATATCCTGACTTGACCTCGGTTAGACGTGCCCTCTGGCTTTCGATCGGACGGACCCCGACTCGACAAGTCCATCGATCTACCGCATGAGACGGCTGCCTTTCGCGTGTCCGCAAACAACAGTCCGTGTCTGCATTCTCTGAGGGTCGATTTCGCCTATTCCAGAAAATGCTCCCTTTCGTGTTCCTGTTGCTTTTCGGAGCAACGTCCGGCTGGAGAGGCTTCTGCCCTCTGAGATGTCGATGCAACGACAAAGAGCTTGTCGTGCACTGCAATGATGCGGCGCTGGACGTCATTCCGATCACACTGAACCCCGGTCTCCGGGAGCTGCATTTGGCCAGGAACACCATCAAGAACATAATGAGCGCATTCAGCGTCTATCCCACTCTGGAGAGTCTCGACGTCAGTCACAATCAATTACACAACCTCAACAAGAACAACTTCCATCTGCGACACTTGATGCAGCTCGACATCAGCAACAACTTCGTCGAGGAGGTCAACGCAGAAACCTTCCGAGGGCTTCAGGTGAGCAGAGATTCGACCACCTGGATAGGGCAGGGGGATTGGCGAGGGAAAATCGGGGGCGCCAGACCGCCTCGGGAAGTCCGGGACGCAATTCGAGTACTCCTCTCTCCTCTTACAGAATTTGAACGAGCTGAACTTGCGGAAGAACTCCCTCAGCAGTCTTCCCGCGCGAGCCTTCCATGACATGCGCAATCTGGAGCTCCTGGATCTCTCCAATAACCAGCTAGTGAAAATCGATCAGTCAGCTTTCATCGGTCTCGTTCGACTCCAGAAACTCATTTTGAGGTCGAACTCGTTCGAGGAAATACCCAGCGAGGCCTTCGCTCACTTATCCCATCTACATACGCTGGACTACGGCGGGAACGCCATAAGCCGCGTTCCGAACCACGCTTTCCACTATCTCAGTCGATTGCGGGAGCTTTATTTGGATCGTTGCAACATTGCTGTTTTTGAATTGAAAGCGTTCAACGGTCTCGTATCGTTAGTGAATCTAAACCTTCAGTACAACAGCCTCGAACGCTTCCCCGCTCAGGCTCTCGCCGAACTCCACAAGTTGGAAGAGCTCAGTGTGGGCGGTAATCGTTTCGGGGAGATCCAATCCGGAGATTTACACGTGCTTCCGGGCCTGAAAAAGTTCAGTTTGACGCAATCGGAATCTTTCGAGAGGATCGCCGAGGACGCTTTCGACCACTCGCCGAACGTCGAGCAGGTCCTCCTGGAGAACAACAAACTCCTCCAGCATCTGCCGGAGAAACTTTTTGCGCAGCTCCGTGTTCTTAAGCACGTTAGTTTACGAGGCAACGCGCTGCGATTCATACATCCAAAGGCGGTTCCCGTCGGACAGTTGGACACGTTCGACATTTCGAAGAATCCTCTAATTTGCAACTGCTCGATAGAGTGGTTGTGGAATCAGTTGCGGTTCCACGAGTCGATCGCGTATCACAACAGTTCGGGGGCTCGATGCGCGGGACCGGCCAATCTGCAGCACGAGCTGATTAAGAATCTCTCGCAGGCCGATCTCGACTGTGATGGTCCTGCGAAACGGGGCCTGCTCGTTCTCGGGGTGACAGCGGCTTGCGTGCTAGGTATTCTAATTGCGGGTGCGGTGGCGCTCTGGTGGCGACGGCGATCCTTGGCGCTCATTAAAACGAAACAAATGCAATTGGGTTGCGATTCGAACACGCTGACGGCGCCGATGGTTGAACACCATAACCACCAGACGTACCTGACTCAGGCGCACTTCGGCCCGGGAACGCTCCCGTTGCCCCTACCCCCTCAGTCCCCGTACCACGGTAGTTCCTACTATTCGAGTCAGCATACGCTGAACTCGACGGGGTATCTCATAAGCAATCCGATGGACTCTGCCAACCACGTGTACATGACCGTCGGACCGCCGAGTCCTCAACACAAAATCCCCCATTCGCCGGCATTGAATCAGTGTTACTACACGATGTCGACAGAGAAGAAATACAAGCCAAATCAGGCATCGCTAGCCTACATTTAGACAGCCAGGCGATTTGGCCGAATCGCTCCCGTGATTGCCGTGAGGCTAAATCGACTGCAGCGAATGAGTGGAGAGTGCCAATAATTTTCCAAGCAGTTGTATACAAAATAGACCAAGAAGAACATCACACGGATATGCAGGCAACCAATGTAAACTTGTACAGGAGGCTTCGCCAGTGCCGACGAGAGAAGAAACATCGGCCAAAGTGTACAGATGTGAATACCCACTTCTAGACGCCCGGAAGATCCCGAACGCGGAGAGGAGGTGAGTCTCACGACGTCAGCCTACCCACCGTTTTTCGCTAGGTCGAAGTATGTTCGCCTGATGCAAGTCCCCGTTTCACCGGAATTCTCCACGCCGAAGGGCGGCCTGACCGGTTTGGAGATACCGACAATTCTTTCCGAAGCCCTCCGCTATGTTCGAGGTGTCCCGAGTGCCGGCAAAATCTCGGCGAAGATCCGCTTGTTTTCGGATAGGGCTAGAGCCCTTCCATGCGACCATCTCGGAGGGGAATCGTTTATCGGCTTCATCAAAGGCCAACACGTTTTGAATAATGGCTCGGTGGCGCTTGTGATTTCATCAAACGGCTTCGCTCATAAAAACGGGAGATATCTCTTAATCTGAGAGAGCGCGGAACATGCCGAGGAGCTGATCACAGAGATTCGGTCGATATATGCCCATAATAATTAGTGCTATCCCGGTCGGCCACAGACAAAAGCTTGTCTCACCCGGCTGGCTGCGGGGCCTTCTACTAGACGGGGGAAATCCATTCATGCCGGAACTTGGCCATTGTCCGACTTCCGGTAATCTTGCCCGCGGGCTTTTCAAATAGCATTGTTTCCCACTGCACGCGAGATGGCTGTCATGCTGCTTTTCGAAATGAGTGAGCCTGGTGAGCGCGGCTCATGAATCCGCTTTTGGCCGGAGCCGACTTCTGAGGAATTTCACCGGAGAATTAGGTCACAAGAGGCAGGCTAGGGAATTCTCCCGGCTCGGAGCCGTCACGCAATCGCATGGACGGGGGTGGAACGTTCGCTTTGTCCCTCATCGTAGAAGGACTAGAACAACTTCCACGCATGCTGTGAGAGAAAAAGTACCATGGCCAAGAGAATCGTCTTGATTCAGGCGTATCTCATTGGAATCCCGCTAAGCTCTCCATTCTCCACAGTGCCGCTTCCATCGGATAGAGTCTGGAACCCCAGACCGCAGCATTGCCTCAGAACTGACCTGGACCCTGCATTGGGATAGGAGATCGCAGACCATGGACCGACAGAGGTCATCTCACGAAACATGGGAATCTTCTGATAGAACATATCGTTCGGATGGATGGATGACTCGGCTCATCATCCCGATGAACTAGGGGAATCTGAGTATTGCATCGAAATGGACGGGAGCATACGAGGATACTGAGTAAAAAATCTACTCCGGATTTTTAGAACGAGGGCAAGGTTCTGATCGAGGTTGAGACTGATGCTCTGAGTTGAGAGTACTGAACGTTGGAGAATTCTATGAGTGACTCATGTACAAACATATGTAGAATAAAACATACCAATGGTCAATAATAATTGAGTCACTGTCGATGGGATCTTGATGGCGAATAAAGTTTTGTGTATAAGAAGGGAGAAACTCTCTTTTTTCGATAAGCTTAGCCAAATCGAGAAGGTCATTCTCCAGACAAGCTGGTACCAATGAAACACTCTGAGCTCGATAGTGCAAGCAGTCCGGGAGCCCATCCTCTCCCGAGTTAGAGCTCACGTCATGGATCATGAGATATCCTCCGCGTTTTCGCGATCATTCCCCGCATCCTCCCTAAACACTTTCTCCCGGGTGATTACAGTAGACACAGAATTGATCTTTGGGTTGATTGAATTGATTTGAATTGATCCCACAAGGAGCGTCAGACCCCCGCATGGAGCGTGATGGTCTCGCTGGAAACTGTCTTGCATCTCGCGAACGATGGAATCCAACGGTTGAAGCCTGTACGCTGGAGGATCGAGCAAATGTCACGATGTTTCACGGCATTAGTTATGATCGTAGCCGGTACCTGCGTGTTCTCCTACCGATCGGTATAGGACGGCTTCTATCGGAAATGCGACCTCCCACTCGAGTGTTTCCCCTCGAGAACCCAGACATAATTCCAACAGTGAAACCCGTCTAATAAGACCACCTCCGGGGAATTCGGGGGGGGGGGGGGAGCGTCTCGGTAATTCAGGTGGTCATATTGAGGAAGTCCTCCAACATGGGAGCCTATTGTTTCAGCGCCCGGAAATAGTTGTCCGAAAGCCTAGGTGGCCTGATTATAATAGATGCGGTCCCTAGCTCAGGTTGCTTTGTTTATATGGGCGTCGGTGACTCGGGGTCAAAAGCAGGCTCAAAGGCATCCATCAGCGCCGTGAAGAACCCCGATCTGAAGGCGATACCTGCAGTCTCGAACTTCCAGACGCCGTGCAACAAATGTCCATCTCTGAGCGAGCGCACGGTGAATTCACTCCCATACTCCACGGATTCGGTCGCATTAGAGCACTATCAGCTTCGGTGTGACGGTGTGAGGGGGCTCAATGTTGGTTGTACAAGTGCGCAATCGTTTATCTCTCTCTGAGTGCCCGTGAAGCAACAACACTTCCGTTCATTAAGCTCACTGTAATTAATTTCTGCGTCCAATCGCCTTCCTGCCCCGCACAACATTTCGCTCGGCGGCATCCCGGGTCCTCGCCGGCACGATCAGTCTCCCATTTGCAGTTGGGCGAAGAGACTGCGACGCCGGTGGTTGCGAAGAGCATCGTCTCGAAATGCGATCTCGAGCTGCCGGCAAGTATTCTCTCGGCACCTCCGGAGTCACCGGGCTCTGCGATAAGCCTTGCTTGCGCCTCGGCATCGTAGTTGTTCTGAGATGATGAGCCTCCGAGCGTCGAACTCCTGACGCGGAGTATCGTCGCCGTCTTCTCCAAGCCACCCACGGACGGAATCGACGATGAGCTGATGAACCAAGCGGGGGTGACATCAAGCCGGGGGCTTGGGCTGGGAAGGAGTTTTGGGCTGAGGTGGGTGAGAGGCGATAGACAAATCCCCCCTTGGCTAATAGCACGATAAGAGCGACCCGACAGGCAGGTTTTGTTCACTCTCGAGCTAGCCTGTTCGCACGTCTAAAACGATGCTTGAGTTCACGAGACTCGGAGCCTGTTCGTACATATTCCACGCGAGCGACTCCGCCTGCTGTGCAGATATAAAGATGTTACTTCAGCCTTGGGAATACTCGAGCGCACTCCTCATTTCAGCTCAGGTCTCATTTCTATTGTCTTATCCTAAGAGCCCCCGGGGAAGAGAATACCTCGAGGATTCTGCGACAATCGCATTCTTCTCGGTGAATTCGATTTTCCCGTCATACATCTGAGGCATAGAACTCCTTCGTTCGGCGGTTCGGCCGCATGTCCCAATTTCCACAATAAAATGCCAACATCTCAAATTCGTCTTGTAAAAACTTACAGACTCCAATTACTTCTTGCGCTTCCTCCCATCCGTCAACTCCGAACCCCTGCTCTTCGATGAAGCGGAACCTCCGAAATAGACCCTGATTTGTCCGGGTTGTTCAAGTAAGTTCTGCAAGAAGTTGCCAATGTTGGCCGAGAAGGAGACCAACGCAGACATCCGCTTGAGGCTACGATCGGACGGAAAGAGGATGGTGTACAGTCAGGCTAGGCGAAACTTGAGATTCGATTAGACTTCGAACGAGACTTCCCGTCTCGTTTGTCGTCATCATCAGCAGCAAGACGGCGACGCTCGGCTCTGCATTAAAATTGATACTTTGGTAAAGATGACTCAACGAAATATGAGGGCTTCCAGAGGCTAGTGAGGATTTGATTCCCGTGTCCCGCCTCGGCGAGCCTCTCGAGTTACAATGGCTGAACTAGACCGTCGCCGCCGCCGACGTCTATCCGAGGGGTCAGAGCGGTGCCCATATCACATGCAGAATAGGACCGGAACCGATTCCAGGAGCCGGATTCTTCCTACAGGAGCCGCGGGTGGTTCCACCGACTCTGGTGCCGACGCTCCGCGTAACGGTACCGTGAACCTCTTTTGGTTTCGTTGTAGAGGATAATACTGCCTGGTTCTCGTCATGGAAGACAGGGACGCGCTTGGGACGCCTTTCCAGCAGGAGAGTCGGACGCACTGGACATTCGACCGACCCTCGCGTCGGTACTAGGTAATTTCTCTATGTATAGCGTCGTCAAGTTCATCATCGACAGCAACGCCATTGACGTGATCTGAATCTAACCCGAAATGAAGCCTCGTTTGAGCCGTTTACGATCTGAGATAATTTCACTTGCCGTGCTAATCTGGCGGCGGTCCGGCCCTCCGCCGTTAGGCACGAGCGGGCCTTAAATGGCTCCATCAGGCTCGTTCTTCATGAGCGGCCTCGTCCGAGAGCGAGTGCTTCCGAAACCACTCAGCTGGTCACTCAGCTCGAAAGTGACACTGAGTCCATGCTTAGTTTTTAGAACAATGTGCAGCTCAAGCGCACCTCGACTTGAGACGTGGCATATCCTACGAATCGGTGCGGCTGCTCCTAACGCATGAACTCCAGCCGTTTGAGGAGCAAATAAATTGCATTCATAAACGGGACGTCTATGACCTCCGCTTGGGCACGAAAATCAGTAAAACTTCGCCATAAACGAACAAGCTTCGTGGTACAGGTCACTCCGGCTCAGTACGAGGGAGTCTCCTGGATCGTATCCCTGAGCCCGTCTGGCTCTCTCAGCACCGCCTTCACCATTCCACTCAGAGAAATCCGTCTTGATCGATGTTTTCGACGATCTGGAGTCGACGCTCTTCGTTCGCAGCGATTGGCTGACCCAGGGAACCTCTTCCCGTGAATAGATTCAGTCTTGCTTCTCTTCTATAGAATATTCGGAGGAAAATATTTGTATGTATGATGACGATGATGATGATGTCGGCGGTCGGAGGGCATGCGAGACCACGGCTCGTGAATCACTGCGTTCGCCGTGAGTGGCGAAGACTTGATGAGAGTCGCAGATCACTCCACTTCGAGATTACTTTTCTTTCCCAAGCGGAAGTCTCTTCAACCTTCCAGACCCACAGTTCAGGGCATCGGTGTCGCCGGGTCCCTCCGAACTCGGTTAACATATCTCATGTATGAACGGTAGATCTCGGAGTAAATCATCCGTTTCGTGAAAAAGCACCGCATTTGGAAGCGGAAAAAATCTATCTCAATATAATGTCATCCCTCAAGCTGGAACGGAGATGCCTCTGTGTCGGCCGGTCGTACATGAGAGTGGTGTCATTCTTTTAATAGTTTCTAGGAAAACAAAGATTTCTTTGTGACTTGCTGCTCCCCCTGCTACAGGCTCTTTTTTCTTCTTTCGATGATTCCCCAAGATGGTGACGATACGCGAAACCACGAAAACACGACCGATGAGCGCGTGCATGAAATTCCTCCCTTCTGAGTGAGCGAGGGCCACGATCGTCCGTAGTTTTTCCTTTCATTTTCAGCGCCAGATCCAGCTACGACGGCGCCGAACGTCGGCCATGTCTTGGATCGTCTGTCAAAAGGAATGAAATTTCAACCACTTGGAAGAGTCGGAATGTCCCCATGGACGATTGTCATTCATATCGTTCTGGTGTTGTCCGAACGCAGAACGCTGTCGGCCGTGGAATCGCGCGAGACCCAGGGCTCTCAAGGCATCAGCTGATACGATGCTTTCAGAGCGAATCCCTCCTGGACAACCACTCACTCTAACTTATATCGGCGAGCTTCTCGTCATTCAAGCTTGACAGTAATCATGACGGCTGCGATAACAACAATGATGTCGCGGGCTGAATAGAAAAGTAAAGCCTCTTACGGCAACGAAGTCCAGGATCGAATTTCGTCCTGGATTCCCCGCCCTCAAACTTGTTTTCTGTCAACAGCCTCTTCCGAGTCGAAATGATTCTCAGGTTTCACTCACCGTCGGCGCTGACATACCACCCAGAACATCACCGCTATCGATTATTCCCGACGATTCGAGTCGATTTCAACGAATTGACGCTCATGTCGCTGTTAGGTTCGACATTCGACACTCTCCGAATTAGTGGTTTTCATTTAATTAAATAGGGAGTCGCTCCGGGAGCGCGGCGGATTGGAATTATCATAGATTGCGATTCGAGCCCACGGAGAACATGAGAATATGAGTTTCATCTCAATGTGCGACTTGTAAGGAACCAGCTGCAAGAGGGCACCATATCAGCCGCTATTGTTTGAGCTGTCAGCGGGTCGGAGCCCCTCTCGAAAATTCTTCTAACAGGTTCGTCGTACTCGAAATTAGCGCATGCATAGCACTAATCATATTTTGTTGGTTTTTATGGCGCTCTTTATCTTCGTCTCAGAGTGCATCGAGTGAGTACTTCGTCCGGATATGTGTCTGATTCAGTCGACGGGGAAGGGGTTCGAGCGAGGAGTTCGCCGCTTTTTTTCTATATGTTGGAACAAGAGTCGCGCTCCAGATAATGTTCGATTCACCCCAAGGGCAGCAGTGCTGCTGGTAGCTCGTAACATGCGCTCGTTCCGCACCAAATTGAAGAGAGCTGCTCTCGAGCCGCCAAAGAGAAGCACGTGTCCAAACACGAATTCCTCCGCTCTGTGTGTGTAGCCAGTCAGAGCCGGAACGACGGAGGCCATCTCATCTCTAACCTAAAGGATTAGGGATCATGACTCAAGCACTCATTAAAACAACTCCCTACGCTCTGTTGAGCATTTCCTCCGAAGACGAGCGCCACGAGCTTAAGCCACGGAGGAGCTCGCTGCTCGGATCAGCCGCCGTGTCGTCGTCGCATCATGTGACCAGCGCGTGTTTCCGAAGTATGTAATTGTAACGATATATTTCCCTTCGTGCCATTAGCATCCAACAGGGAAATTATGATACTCTTGCGAGTCAGTCCCGTTTGACCTCACCGCGAGGGAAGTTTCGGGGAATCGACGCCACAGACGCCTGACGGCGCGGGAACTTCCCCATTCTTCCCTTTACAAGTTGTCACTCCGTTCGAGAGCCGTGACGATTGATCCCGAGCGAATGTTTGCAAATGAGCTCCGGGAATGAATAGACTCCCTCTGCTGTAATTTGCCGAACGACTCGTTCCGGATGGCGGTTCGCATTCTCCATACGAATTGATCTCAGAGAGTAGAACGTCTTTTCGGCACGCGTCGCTCATTGTTCACAAACTTGTGTTCGCTAGTAGATCGTGGCTGGCACAGTTTTCTTCGTTATTTTTCAAGGGTACGTTCCACCCCATTGGCTGACGACGGAAATAGGAAAGATCGGGAGATTCAAGCGGCGTACATGCGTGCGTTAGTGGGCTAGCAAACTATTGGAGCAGAAGAGACGGCGGTATATATTTTTCGCTCCGTGGTTGAGGAAGAGCAGTGGTCGTTCAACAGCACTGTTGGCGTCAGCTTCCCTGGTTGAAGCTCGAGTAAATTCCGCTCGAGCGACATGCCCGAAAGGTTTCGCGTGGAAACTTTCGCCCTATTAGTAGATTAATGGCGATTTTTTCTCGTCGAAAGGCTTGAAGGGCAGGGCCGAGAAGATCCGCCGCTGCATTCCTCGAACCTTTTCGGTCGAGAAATTTTTCCTATGGTCAATAGTTCGGCCGGAAAATATTTTAACCGACCGAGAACAAAGGACGGCTCCATTATGAGGCTACCGGAGAGCGGCTTCGGTGGATACGATCACCTAGGAGATGGATGGGAAAAAGGATGAAAAAATCGAAACAAGCTACGAATGAGAAAAAAGAGACGACACGGCGGGAGTCATGCAGACAAACTGGATGAACAGATGGACGGTCTCTTCGGGAAGAGATTTCCTCGGGCCTGTAGCTCGAGGCGACTCGACAGCGCAGCTCCACTTTGAAGAACAACTCGGAGCACTATCGTGTTCGACGACTTTGGCAGAACAGCTCTCGCCCCAGCTCACTTCTTTCCATTGGTGCTGCTCCAGTGAAGTGTCACCCTATATAATATGAGAGGAGACAAATTGACATTATGGCTCGAGGAAAGAAATGCTGAGATACACGGTACCAGAGAATTGCGCCAGATCCACGGATGGAGAGCTCGCAATCGGAGTGCGGAGCTTGCGGGCAAGGAGAGATCTACGATCGGAGGTGACGTGGAACAGGCAGCTTGAACGAGAGCCGAGTGAGAAGCTCGAGATCTTATGAAAGAAGAGGAGGAGCGCGGTATTCAGGAATTTGAAAGTTATACGAAGGATGGCACTTCTGTATAGAGTGAGGTCTCGAGCGCTCGAAGCAGGCAGCTCCGGATGGAGTTTCCTGAGGAATGAGAGAGCTTGAGTTTTCCTGCGCAAGAATAAAAAGGCTCGGGGAAAGAGGTCGACTTGTGGTGTCAGAGCCAGCTGAGTGAGCTCTGAAATACGAACTGTCGAAATGGAAGGGAACTCCGACACTTGAGAGCTTGCCATTCGGACTGCGCGTCTTTAACAAGAGTCGATGTCTCCTTTCTTTGCGCCTCCGTCCCACTCCACCGACTTAGTCAACTCCCTCAGCAGCACAAAAATGCTCGAGAGTTTTTGCTCCAACATTATCTGAATGGCTCGATTTACGACCGTCGGATAATAATCGACTCTTTCAGCAGTACGCCTTCGAGCTCCAGAGTCGTTGCTATCGGACTCAAGAATATCGTAAGTGAGGCGTCGCGCACGAAGCCACTAGGTGTGAAGAGAAACTAGCAGGCACACCTCATTGGAACAGTTCTCGCGGGAGATGCAATATATAATATATATTGAATACGCGTTGGTCGGGAAGAATCCGATTCGATGTGAGCAGAGCTACGCTCCGGCAATTCAGTTTTATTCCGGCATCGATTCAGCCCCCTGTGCAGCTCATCAGATCGCCTCCAATCTACGATGAAGTCTTATTTGAAGTATTTGATCGTGAATTCCTCGAACCATGTCCAGTTCAGATGACAGTGGCCGCCGGGAATATTCTCGAAGACCAGCTGGTTGTTCATAGACATGGTCCTGAGGCCCAGCAGATCCTCTCTGTATACCCGAGTAGACGTGAAATTTTCCAACTCCGAGACCGAACCTGGGCGGGAAAGTATTGCGTCAAATTCGCGCCTGTGACGTTCATCGACACGGATGTGACAGAGACAGCATGCGAGACCTAATGATTCAATCGAGTCGTGGGCAATAGTATGGTTCTCGTGTTGTACCTACCTTCGGCGAAGAATCCAAAATGAGCCGAATAATTTGGGACTATGAATTCATCTTCGGTGTTGCGGATCATGATGAATTTGTTCACCTGGGAGAGAGGGAGGAACGATCAATTCGATTCGTTAGGACATCGCAATCGTTCTCTTCATCCCGTCCCACGAAGCCGAAATCCGCTCACCTTCGAGAGATTCCGTTTGAAATCGATATTGAAGTTTCTCTCGTTGTTGAGCTCAGCCAAAAACGCAGAGGCTCGTCGGTATTCATCCTCCTTGAGTGGATCGTGCCAATATTCAGCAGCCGTCAACAAGCCTGGATATGCGATTTGTTTCGTGAAATCATGAATACGACGCATGTCGGAAATTAAAGATCAGAAAACAAGTCCAGGACGCGTCTATGAACCTTGAACGAAGCGAGAATAAACGTCGAGGCTGAAGAGACTGACGATCATGGAGCACAGGAATTTCGGCACTCTCTCAGTGCACTTCGGGATTCCGTAAATGCCTTGATGGGGCGAAGACAGGGTCACAAAGTTGTTGATCGGTCCTGGGGAACACCTGGGAACAACTGATAAGATATTTCTCGAGAAAGGGAAGCGGTATATGTAAGTCGGGAGCTGAGTTTTGGAAACAGCGTCAACAGGGGTGGTCACCGCCATTCGTTCTTATGGTTCCCCTTCTGAAATCTGATCACGGACCCCCTCGAAAAAGAAGATTCTTACTTTTGTACTATGGCACGCATGAGGATTCCGCCCTGTGATTCGCCGAACGCATTGAATCCCTGTCGAAGCTCCGGAATATCTGCGAGCTGAGCGCAGGCGATCTCCAATTGCTTTTCCAAGGGCATGAAGACCGAAGCCCGTTTCTCGCTGCTACTGGAATTCCCGATCCGCAGGCAGAATACATAAATTCCTGGTAGCGTGCTCCGGACGCGTGAAATTATGTCTGGAGAGAGTGTATATTCAGCGTTGCTTAAATTGTATTTCGTCGGACTTCACGAGTCGACGACGATGGATTCAATGACCGGCCGTCGGCAGCGTTTCCATCTCGGAGCTTCATGGGGCTCTAGCCCCAGGACATTGTTCCGTCATGGTAAAGTATAGGAGCGCGTCGCCATGTCGGATCCCCAGCCCATAGGGATCCGAACGCCCCGCCCCCCCCCCTTCCAGCCCCGGGAAAAACTCTGGATACGCCTCTGCCGGTCGTAAGCGAGTAGGATGCGGTCGGGAGAGCGTCCGCATCGTCGATAAAAACGCCATCGGGTCCTCCGCTTATTCCAGTGAACGTACTCGCCGCACGCAGTTTTCACTTTTCAGACGACAGTCTTTGAGCAAATAATTCGCCGGAACTTACTCTGAATCGGTCCCTCACATGAATCGTTGAATCCATGCACCACCACTAGCGGACGAAAGGACGAAGCCGCTCCCACACATAGAACGAGCGCGGCGAGGCTCCAGATCCGTCTGATTGTCATTCCGACCGTCGGATTTTCCACAGCTCGAAACGCTTCGACTACAGCCGTCTAGCTGTCTCTTCTCCCCGAGCTTTATCTCCTTGATACGTCTCTCAGCGAGACACAGGGACTCTGCACCCGGAAACATCGAACCGGAGAGAGTAATCTGGAGCTCTAATCCGTCGTGCTAAGTGCTGAAATTTCGAAAAAAACGATTCTACAGCCCCCAACCCAGCTCTCTAATTTCATAACCTTAGATTTTCGTGGGAAACGAGCGAAATTCATAATTCGTAGGACTCACGAGACTCGACCCCGGTTAGTGGTCGATGATCCTCGATGAGATCTAGCGAAAATAATCATCGGGGTTTCCTTTCCACGCTGGTCGACTTGGAATCATATGGCTTGCTCAGAGCCCCACCCTGTAATGTACGGCAGTGTATCTCTCAAGAGGGTTCGTTCAGAATTCGCTTGTCTATGACTGCCCGCTCGGCCACAACACATAGGAGCGGGATAGACACACCTGATCCCCCTCCGTACCCCACATCCGGATCCCGATCACTGGTGCGTATAGCTCTAGTGTAATAACCCTCAGCGAGTCCCCTCGCCAGAGTCCCGAAGCACCCCACCTACTACCAGCGATAGATGGTCGCGACGGCGCGGCGGCGAGAGGGGGGAGTTTGATGAATATAAATAATCAATCAACCAGAAGAATCAACAATTATATCGAATTGAACCAATGAACCAGTGACACCGACCTCGCGTTGCGATGCTTGGAGTCGAATCGTATTCCATCGCGAATTCATCACAGATTCATCGCGCATGATTCGGAGGGATTCCCCAGCCCACGAAGCGGCTTCGAAAATCTGTATAGCTCCGAGAAGCCGTCCCTGAACTCCTGGTCCGCGTCTTTCGGGGAGGCGCTCGATGAATCTATTGCGAGCCGTGGTGAGTGTTGCAACAGGCGAGCGGCAAACAAGCGAATGGGAATGCAAGAGTGTTTATGACGACGCTTCCGAAGCGCCTATTCCGCCGCTCGCATGGGACCGGGGTGCACCTGCCCGAAAAAGGTTTTTTTTTCGCCCACAGACTCTTGACGATGCTGTGGGCACTGTCGCTCAAAGTGTCAGCCACTAAGCGAGCGTCGAGACACAAGGAGGGAAACGGAACGTTCCGACGAGGGACGCTCGGTCGTCGTTGTTGTTCCAGTCTCGGAGCAACGTTTGCCCGCTTCGGCATTCGGTTTTCCTCTCTTTCTTGTTCCTTTACTCTCGACCGCGAGTCCCTGTCGTGGTCGTCGATGCTCGTTTGACAACATTGCAGTTCTGCTCAAACTGTCGCAACTGTCGAAGCGAGATCGAGCGGGCGAATCTACGACGATCGCAGAGTGGAGGCTGACAGACATATCTGGAGCGAGCCGAATGGAAAAACAAAGCGACGCGACGGAACGCATCTAAACAAAAAGATAAAACGCGAGTAAGAGGGGAAAGCAAGTCGGCCGACCGACGATGGAACGGCGGGCGGCGACGCAAACCGCGAAACTCGGCTCATGACAGCGACGGGCCACGGAGAACAACGCTGACGGAGAACAAGCGGCGTGAAGGGAAGCAGAAGCATTCCAGAGACGGAAAAAATTAAAAACAATTCTTTTATCGTGCTCAGGGACTGTACGTAACTTTTGTGGTCGGTCGGGAGCCTGAAGTCCCCGTCCGGCTTGTTGAAGCCCTATCAGAGCGGTCCATCGCTCCGCGTTCTACCGACTGAAAGCCGGAAGCAGAACGCAAAGAGAGATTGGAGTCGTTCGGCTCACGGAGACAAACAGAAACTTATCATCCGAGGTTCAATGTTTTCGAACAGATCTCCCGTTTGGATAGTCGAGTAAGCAGGGGCTGAATCTTATCGCAAGCTTGTTTTAAAAGCAGAGTGCAAAGGTCTTTGTGCTAGCAGCGATGTGACTCACTAAGATCACATTACCACCCCTCCGGGAGCGGAGACGATGAGAGGTGCGATCCATGTGCCGTTATCGGACACCACCCGGGATTATCCTCTTGCGATCCTCGACGGTCCGTCTGTTCGTCTGAGCCTCGGTCGATTCATCTATTCATTCGTAGCTTCAGTCATTCATGTACGCTATCTTATCTAAGCTTAGCCTCGAGTGCTATCGCCTGATGTCGGGGTGTTAAGCCGTGACACGTTACCTTGGCGAAAAAAAAATCGACCGGAGGATACCGCTCCAATAGATTATGGGAAGCGATGGCCAGACTTGCGATGCGAGGTAGGGAGAATCCAGATCGATTTTGAGCAATCACATTGTTTGTTTCGCCTCGCCGAAATGACATAAGAGCAATCGGTAGCCGAACCGAGCCGAAACCTAAGGAGGCATCGCCAGAGGGGATACGTCGGCAGACGGATAGAAGCAAGCAGGAAAGAGAACGACGTTGAGCGGAACCGAAGGAAGACGATGCAAAGTGAAAGATCGAACCAACAGGGTAGCCGGAGCAACGCCGACGAGAGCCCGCCAGCCGTCGAGGAGCACAAGAGACGTTATCAGGTTTCGTCGGCAACTTCCGCTAGCTCTTCCTGACTGGTTCAGGACGAAGAACGCTCGTTGTCGAAGCGCAGAGGGAGAAAAAAAGTGTATCGAGAGCGACGTTGAACGAAGTCGCTTCACGTTTGTTCATGCCGGAAGGACTTGTCCGGACACGGTCGGTTGTGGAACGTCAGCACCGCTGGACGCTCCTCATGCGGCGGTTGCAACGGAAACGACGTCTACCATTGTTTTGTGCGGCAGGAGACACCCGCTCGGGGATGTCGCTGCCTGTCAAGGACGCTGTACGTGCTCATCCCGGACAATAGGAAGTTGGATGAAGAAATTGAAAACAACTAACGAAACGAGTGAACCGAGCTCCACTAGACTCATTGCCAGGAGCCGGACTTGTATATCCATTCTAGCCGATTCTTCGCTGCGCGGAAGGGCCTTGCGAGGATGAGTTATTTGTTTTTACCTTGAAACGACCTCGTCTAGAAACAGACCTTTCTGGTCTGAGTCTGATCGAGTTGCGTCCTGGCTTCATTATATGATTGACGATCGCTGCCGAATATCCATTGATGAGTCGATAAAGACCGTAATTGGCCGTGGACGGGCTCTAAATAGAGTGGAAATCGATCTTTGGAATCATTACCAGAGTTCAGCGTTCCATAACGAGTGTGAGTATTGCTCCCTCCATCAGCGTGCTTCTAGCGACGCTCAATTAAATTTGGGCTCCAGGCAGGTACGTCAGACTTCGTTGAGAGCAGAGAATCTCTTGCGGCCCAACGTATCGGGTCGTGTAACCCTACCGCGGTCGTATACCTACTAATCCGCCGGAATCATTAATTCATGATTCATTTGTCCTCGTCGCTCGCTCACCATACATGTCGACTCCGACGGTACTGATGCCGCTTCGGTGACCCGCTGGATTTTATGAATCGGAATTCTTCGATGCGTAGACGGGCGTAACCAGTTTTTCCGAACCAGTTCGACGAGGAATGGGAAGTCGAATGGATTGACGACTCCGAGGGATATTCCTTTGATGTTCGGGCGGTCGTCCGGTGAGTCGCGATGTGCGGTCCGAGCCCCCTTATTAAGCCGCTATTCACGGCATACCATTCGTCACTCGTCCAACCTCCTCCTCGTCATAATCGCGTTGGTATTAAAAATCGCTAGCACATACCGCCGCCACACCGCTGATCGCGGACACCAAAAGTTCTTGATGCGATTTTCTATTAGAGCTCATGGAGCGAATCCAGCGTGACTCATCACCGTGACTCTCCGTTGGTAGTCGGAGCCTGAAATCTGCTTAAAACTTTCAACAGCCTTCAAGAGTCAACAGCCATGCGCGAATAATCTCTTAGAAGCTAGACATAATAATAATGAAATCGATCGAATCAAGGACCGCGGGAAAGAGCCCGTTCATCCTGCTCGGAAGATTCTCCAATTTAGAGCGCCGACCATCTTCGCCGTGAAAGGGGGAATCCTGTCGCATCTTTGTTGAAAGCCGCACGAAAGCTCATATATTCAAACCCATCCGCGCTACAAGCTTTCAGGAAATCGGCCATGTGTATATCTCGGGATTTAAACGAAAAAATGGATGTGAGCATCCGGACGACGCGAGGGGTTGAGAGCACGCGATGTCTCTGTTTCATTCAAGTCCATTTAGCTGAGCAAATAGAGCATGAGCAGAAGATTGACGCTCGCATTACACTCGGATCAATCCCGGCTGATGTTGCTTTGATTGCGATTTTCCTAGGGGAAGATTCTCCGAGAGGAGGCACATATGAGAGTCCTCGCCCGAGAACTCCGCCAGCGCTTCAATGGTGCGCGCCGTTGTCACCGAACTTGAGAATATCAGCTCGGG